ATACATGAAAAATGTGTTGAATGTAACATATCATTTATAACTTGTATATCGATTTAAAATAGCCTATATTCTCAAAAGATTTTTGAATGTAATACTCAAATTTGTTATCACTTATCTAAAAAGCAGATCTAAATGAGAAAGTAAGTTCTCTAATTGTGACCATGTTGTTAATTTAATATATTGTAAAATCCATTTCAAATCATTACCACTTAATCTATTCTTACCTACATTATAACGATTACACTAAAATTACTGCTAACTATTACACTACATATTACACAAATATTATCACACTTGTGTTCCAACTGATTAATGTTTAATACATAGAAATATACACAGTCACTTGTAATTTTACTTGTCCAGTTTTTCAATGGGATATTATAGTCTAAGTCTAATTGACATAATTATGTTATCTCTTGTTCCCTCTTCTTATGCAAAAAGTTTCTTCTGTCTTCGGAATTCCTTCTTTAGTACGATGAACAGTTACATACGATGGTACTTCAGGAAATATATTAGGAACTGCATTGCCTTTTAATTTGGGAAATATTAACTTTTCAATGTTCATGAAAATATTTGGCACATACTACGGAAGATTTGGTAATTGTACAGCCTTCTCTATGAATAGAGCATAAGCCAGTATACCTTCTTTGGGGATCTTTTGGAAACAAAAACATACTTTCTGCCTGTTTCGTTTTTAAAGTACTGGCATAATTGGTTTTGCAACCAGGTACACAACAATGCCAGAGCATCTGTAACAAAAAACAAAAGTATTATTATTGTTGTTTTTTGTTTACATATTTTGTAACAAGAAGCAAAAGTATTATTATTTTCAGTTTGTTTTGTAGGTTATATTTATACTTGCCTTTTAAATTGTCGTTAAGAATCTTCTAAAAGTTCTAAATTTAATGAAATTTTACTTATATTAATATTTTCTAATTGATTTAAACACAATTTACAAATAAAACATTCGAATAAAGTTAAAAAAACAATAAATTCAACAAACTTTACAATCCTTCCTATATGAAATGTTAAACCAAAACAAACCACAGTCGGACTACTACGCGTTGTTACCAAATTTCTACTTCATGGCTTGGAAGTAAAGGTGGCTGTGATTCTGCCCATCTTTGTACTTTCTTGTCCGTCTGTGTTATAAGTAGTCCCGTGTCTATTCAGAATTGCACGAGTGGGATTTTGTTTTCTTAGTCCTGTCAGTTCTTTAACTTTCTTGTGTAAGTTAAACGATCATTTTTATTTTGAATGCCTTCGATCTCTTTGCATTTCTCTTCAAAGTATTTTTCTTTTGCCTGCTTTATCATCTTCCAGTATCTCGTAGTTTATCTCTCTGTATTTATTGTCGTCCTTGTTTTTATATTGTCTCCGTTGATCCATCATATTGAGTATCTCGTCATTCATCCATTCTTCTTTTCTCCTTGCGGAAGTCTTTATTTCTTTACAGGGTTCCAGTAGACAATGTTTTAGTCGATTCCAGTACTCGTCAATATCATTGGTGTTTGTGTTCAATTTATTTCAGTTCACATGCAGTTCATGTTGGAGGCATTCTTTTACTTTAGGTTCTTTAAGTGTTCTTGTGTCTATTGTAGGGATTCTTTGATGTCTTTTACTATTTTTAAGGGCGAGTGTAATCTTGGCGATAAGTGGATTGTGATCTGAGGCTACGTCTGATCCTGTATATGCTTTCACGGCAATGAGTCCAAGCCATCACCGTTAAACCAGCGTGCCTTAAGTGATTAGGGTTAATAGGACACTCCTCGACAGTCTCAACACGACTGCTTCAGAGTACGGGTAGTGAAGAGCTCAACACGCTCTTCGGGTAACGGCGGTATGGGACGGAACAACTTGTGAACTCAACACGTCCACAAGCCGGGGTAGGGAAGAAGAGAACCTTCAGTCAACACCTGTCGATTCTGTCTCTATGAGGAAATGTTGCGGTTTATATAGCGGAGCTTGGTAATTAGTTTTGCTCTTTCTACTTTCGATACACTCCTACTTCATGGGTTGGTTCGCGCGCACGCTGGTTTAACGGTGATGGCTTGGACTCATCGTTACACAGCATTACGGTATCTTTCATTGATCATAATGTAGTCTATCTGGTTCCTGACTACTTTCTCCGATGTATCTGTGGGCGATCGCCATGTATACGCCAACAGTCGTCTGTGTGGTAACTTAAAAAGTGTGTTTGTAATAATAAAGTTCTGCTCTTGACAGAATTGTAACAAACGGTCTCCTCTCTCGTTTCGATTTCCCAAACCATTTTTATCTATACACTTTCCGCTTTATCCCTTTCCATTCTTTGCATTGAGATCACCTAGGACTATCGTGATTTCTCTTGTTTTCGTTACTCTAAGTGCCTCTTCGATATCTCTGGAAAATAATTCTACTTCTTCGTCGGCCTTCGCTGTAGGAGCATAAACTTGTATCAAATTGAGTTTGGCAGGAGATGTCACTAACTACAGTTCCATTACCCTTTCTGAGATAGAGAAATAGCATTCCACCGCTCTATTAGATTTTTTATTAACTATTTCTGCCACGCCGTGTCTGTGTTGGTTATTCTTGCTACCGGAATAATATATTGTGGCTTCGTCTGTCGAAAAACAACCTGAGTTGGGCCATCTGGCTTCACTAATACCCAGTACATCGATATTCAACCTGTTCATTTCTTGAATAACATAGTGCGTTTTACCAGACTGAAACATGCTCTGAACATTCCAGGTTCATATTCTAGTGTTGGACAGTCTTATTTTTGCATCTACCTTCTTTTGATAAGGAATTCGCTGATTGACGACCTGAGAGTCCTTGTCTTCTCCCCTTCCGAGGGCCATGATCAGTAACGCCGTTATCAAAGTATATAAAAACAAAAATTTATTTTATAACACATAATTTTCTTGTGGTGTACAACAATGTACACCTAAAATATTTACAGTAAACAATATAACCTACAAATTACCTACATACTAAATCATTAAATGACTATTTTAAAATTTTCACCTACAATTTTGAGGAAATCAAATTTTGATATTAATCCATTTTTTAATTTTAAAATTTGTCCCTTTGGTCTTTGTAAAAAGTTCGAAAAAACTTTTTTGGGGTGAATTTACTCTTGTACTAAAAAGGTAGGGTGGTTTGTTTTAACTTTTTAGAGGTTTATTTAGTAGTCGTATACGAATATATAAAGTATCAAAAAAAATTTGGATTACTGAGATTGGTGTAGTGTAGCAGATTTTGAGAAAAATGTCTCCCGTTTTGAAAAATGTGATTTCGAGAAAAACGCGTTAAAGTATTATTACTGTATACAGCGATTACTGGTGCATATTGGGTGCCCTCACTGTCCAGTAAAAGCCGTAAATGGTCGGTCAAGGCTTTTTTTCATCTCTGCCCTTTTAAATGTCTCGCTGCTCCTTCTTTTGGCTTGAGCAATATGAGCTTCGTCGATATTTTCCGACCAACTCGTTGATATTTAAATCATGAATGTGTTGCTTGTGTGAGTCCATTTCAAATAGGTAAAGAAATAATAAATAAGACTTACTCACGATCAATTTAATTTAACTATCAGACGACCGGTTTCGCTTTCTACAATATGCAAAGCATCCTCAGGTCTCGATACAAAGTTAAACAAATGCTGAAATAATAAAAACCCATATTAGGGTGTTGTCTAATAACGATAAACAAAGTAGATGTTGTAAATTACAATAATTATGCCAATATTACATGTCTGTGGTTTTATTTAAATGAGTAAGTTGAATAAAAATTATAAAAGTTTTAAAAGTTTAAACAGACAAGGTAAGGCCCACAAATTGTTATAAAATAGTCTCTTCGATTGTAATAAATTAATAAATGAGCAAATAAATAAAATAAACATTACTTACATGCCGGTACTCTATTAATTGATGGTTGGTAGAACATGGTTGAAACTACTATGTATTGTTGAATGGAGAACTCAATTCTATTATTGCAGTTGTTTGACAGTAAACGGGAAGTTCTTGAGGAGATAGATTTGATCCAATGAAGAAGAGATATGTGTGTGATTGTTAAATGAAAGTGATGTAATATACCATTGTGTTATTAAAAGCTATTTATACTTATTCGAGAGATATATTTTTGAAATGTGTGTTATTTATTGAGTAATTGTTTTATGAAGGTGACAGTTTTATGACAATGAATAAGTTTAGATGTAAAAATTGTGTGAGTGTGCAATTATTTTCCAACTTGTAGTTATCAAATTACTTTGATAAAGTTCTATTGGCAATTGGTAAATTATTGGAAAGTCAAGTAAATAAAATATTAAAATACAAACAATTAAGGACAATTTAAACACATTAAAACAGAAAACACTTAGAAGGGACGAAACAAACATTGAATTTAAAAGGGGGAAGGGCTTTAATGCACGACATCGCAGTCTTGGGCACAATTAGTTTTTTTTTATCGTTTTTTTTTTATATCGTTTTTTATATCGTGTGTATTTTTATCTCCAATTTTGCCAATGACCTGACTAGTTCAGAATTGTTTTCTGCAGTGAACTGATAACCTTTGAAAATTTATATTATCGTCATATTATGCTTATTTCAATGCGTCCCCTTACTTCTACGTTTAAATTATCACTAGATCCAGGTATTTTTACCGATTTTCAAAATAATAATTTTCAATAATATAAAACACGTGCTCGCTTGATAAGTTTTCGAAAGGAACTGTCGAGTTGCATGTTCACAGGTGAAGCGGGGCGCGCGGTATTGTATTGTATATGTATACAAACGAATTTTAGCCCGGATGCGTAAAAATCTGTTTTTTGAACATTTAGAAAGTACTTAAAAATCCCATTCAAATATTGTAATGATGCGAGTATGTATACGTTGCCAGTGCGAGCAACACATTCCAAAGAATATCGCCATTTTATTAGGTAATTCCTAATTATATAATCAACGCATTGTATTTTCTGCTAATAGACCGCAATCATTTGCATATTTTTAATTTCATTTTTTGTACAGGAGTACGTTCACCCAGGAGAAGAAATTGATGACAAACCAACAAAAGAAGAGATTACCGTCGCCAAATGGATGAGAAGTAATGTTCAGATCAAGAAAACTAAATTTGCTAACCACAATGTGGAATATTTTACAGGTGAGTTTAGTTTATATTTATTTTAAAAAGAACAATACATCTATAATTGGGGCGGATTTTCAAGTACCAAAAATTTACGTAAAGCCTAACACAATAAATAATAAAAAAGTTAATGTCTTGAAAAATGGTAAAAAAAGAAAAATCAAAGAAGCGGCTCTAATTATGCTAAATGAGGCCAATTGTGTCGCAAATTCCTCGGCAGAATGTAGTAGGATCTGGTTACCAATATTGAAAGAGGAAGTTATTAGTAAGAAAATACCAGTATTACTAAGTCAGTAACATATACAGGATACATCATTTATGTTTTTTAAATAACGAAACATATACAATCGTAATTTTGGTGTTTATTGAAGGTAATTAAATGCACGAACAAATACTTACCATGTCGGGATAGTATTATGAGGTTTTTTTCCTGGTTTTTCCCTCATAATTTACTATGGAATCACTAACAGGAGAATTTTACTGTCATCATGTCATGTGTTTGTCTTTTTAAAGACGAATTACATGCTATGATTTTTTCTGACAGATATTCTCAAGTTAAAGTTGATTTCATGTAATCGAATGAACTATCTTGTAAGTACAGTCGTCCCAGGAGCGCAACTCAATAATATTGGCAATATCATTTTAAAGTCGTCTACTTTAAAATGCATAATGTATGTCTGAATTGTCAATATAAATGAGTCAGATAAAATTAAATTATTAGAAGTATTTTTCACTATGTAACAAAAAACAAAATTTGTTTAATTTACTGTTTGTATTTTGAGAACGATTTCCGAAGTGGAAATTGAAACGTCAATAAACGTATTTTTATCTTTAATTGTGGCTTATTCCCAGTTAAATAGTAATTAATTTGAAATAAATATTAAAAATAAAAGTCGTAATAAACTTATAGAGAGGTAAGAAACTTCAAAATTTGTATCTTTTTATAAAAATATTTAATTTAAAACTTGTAAGTGTCGTAAAAAATTTATAGATGCATAACGTTTTCGATCTAGCTCATTTTTCTTTGGCTAATTTGATCTATTTTTTTATTCTTCTCTGCAGGTGTCTATTCCCAGTTAAATAGTAATTAATTTGAAATAAACATTAAAAATAAAAGTCGTAATAAACTTATACAGAAGTAAGAAACTTCAAAATTTGTATCTTTTTATAAAAATATTTAATTTAAAACTTGTAAGTGTCGTAAAAAATTTATAGATGCATAACGTTTTCGGTCTTGCTCATTTTTCTTTGGCTAATTTGATCTCTTTTTTATTCTTCTCTGCAGGTGTCTATATTCTGTTTCATTAAATTTTTATCAATTAATCCATTAATTTCAAGATTCATCTGTCGTCTGTCATCTTTTTTTTTCTATTATATTATATTATTATTGTTTGTGGAGATTTTGTTAACTTGTTTAATGTTATGTTTTATGTTTATATCGTCAAAGTTAAGTACATTGGTATTTAGTTTTTGTCGCTGAATTCGTTTTAACCTTAGTTTAATATCTGCTACAAGTAGTTGATGTTACATAGGTTAGCTAGCATGTTACATAGATTAATAGAAATTCCCATGCCATAAAACAACTTTGCGATAGAGTTGAATATAATTAAGCAAATAGCAGTAAACAATGGGTACAACGAACAAATAATAAATTAAAATTGAAATTGAAATTAGTATTTCCACCACCAGAGAAAAACCCTGTACCTTCTGCTCGGTACAGCACAAACAAGAAAGGAATAACACCAGCTTTTAGAACAAACAACTTATGAAAATATATTAAGAACAACAAGAGCCAGAAGAAAAAGCACTTACAAAGTGGTGCATATAAACTTGAATGTAGCGACTGCCCAAAAACTTATATCGGTCAAACTGGTAGAACTTTTAACAAACGTATAGCAGAACATAAAAGGTCTTTCAATAATATAAAAACAGATTCTACGTACGCACTTCACCTTTTTAGACCATAATCATTCTTTTAATGACGAATTTCAAAATCTTCACGTGAAAAATAAAGGCCTTATTCAGTTAAAGATTATTAAGTATAAACGCATACTAAAAGTAGATCACTTGAGAAAGGCACTCAGCCAAAACAGCTGTAGTGATAAAAAATTATAATAAATTTTGTGGAAGTTGGACTTTATGGTCCAGGTTTCTACACCATATAGCAGTATGGAGTAAATGTAACATTTTACAAAACGATATCGAAGCGTTAAGTTAAGGCTGCTGTTGTTTAGTAAGGTTCTCATATTAGTAAATGCTGTTCTGCCTTGCTCAATACTGTTACGTATCTCTGTGTCTGGATCGAGATCTTCAGTTATCCAACTACCGAGATCTCTGAACTTGGGGACCTTTCGGATGTTCTTATTGTTTACTCTTATATTTAATTGCATATTTCGTGTTCTACTAACCACCATTAACTTCGTCTTGTCTATATTAATCTTCAAGCCCAGTCGTTCTCCTTCAGTGTTTATTCTTTCTATTAGTGATTGTAGCGCTTCTTGGCTATCAGCTGTTATGACTGCATCATCAGCAAACCGAAGATTACTAATAGTCTGTCCGTTGATTTTGATTCCATCTTCAGTGTCACTTAAGGCTCTATCGAAAATCGTTTCAGAGTAAAGATTAAAAAAGGAGGGGTGACAGAACACAACCCTGTCGTACACCTTTTTCAATTGAGAAATATGGTGTAGATTCCAGTCCTACTTTCACAAATGCCACTTGATTCATATAAAGGTTCTTTATGATTTTAAGTTCATTGTCATCTACCGAACGTTTCTGGAGCAATCTTTTATTCAAATTCAAAAAAATTGCATAGTGGAACCTCCACCAAAACTAACATTTTTTGCTACAGTTCTTTATGCGACAATTGCCGGTCATTCCGGTTAGCATGGATTCGTATAAATTGTAACTGCCTAGTTTTGTATTGTGTGGGAACTTTCACAGAACTTTTTGGATTTAAACCAGCCTGTAAGCGTGCAATTTCGTAAGGACTGAATTCTCAAATATTACTTATTCCTGTTTTTTTTTACTTTTTTTTCGTCCTTGACATGGGCGTCTTTGTCGCGTAAAGTTCGTTGTCTTGCTTTACTATGCTAGAAACAGTTGATTGATGGATACGCAATCTATGCGCAATACCTTATTGTCTGAATCCATTTACTAAAGTAACAAATTTAACAAAATCAAAAGCAATTACTACAGAAACAACATTTACGAACACAAACAATGAAACAGCTGTTGTTAGTCGTCAATTTGTTACATTATTGCTTCTACTTCCACATGCGCTATCAGCAAGTATTCTAATTGCATGTGATAAATTACCAAACACATAAAACACTCCAGATATTTATAACTGAAATTTTATGTACTATATGGAAGTTCACACCGAAAAATTAACAGTAACAATATTTTTAGAAAAAAATAGCAATATTTTTGTCTGTGAGTATGGAATTCGTCTTGCTAATTTGTTTTACTGTTATATCAAATACAATTCAATCAAATATCAGTTATTCAGATATCTCAAAAATTTGGATTCTAAAATAGAAATGAATAATTCAGTTGATTTATTTCTGGAAAATTTTTACATTTAAAACATTTATTGCTCCTTTCATGTTAATAATTATGGTTAACGTAATATGAACACAATCGATGCAAATGAATTGCTTTAGGGTTTATCGCATAATAAAATTTAAATGCAAATATAGTAGCTAGTCAGAAAGTAATTTGCAATGACGTCTTTTATTTAATTATGTTCAATTATTCTTAAATCAAAACGAATAATTTTTTGGTACCTTTTTGATACAAGCAATTAAGAAATCATTTGAAGAATGTTTCGAACGAGAAATGTAAACAGTAAATTTATTTATGTAGTTAGTTTAGACCTGTTTCGGAATCAGTTTGCATTCTGGCTGAAACTCATGGTATGATTTTACTTATCATGGATTTCGGAACACAAGATCCAGCAAGAGGGACATATTTCAAACAGATCACAGATCATCCCAGGTCTTCATCAAGCAAAATCCCTGCGAAATAACAATTATCACGTCAACGTCAAGTGGTACTGTAAAATCTCAGAAATGAACATAAAGATGGGACATGGAACGTCACCAACATGTACGAATCAGGAAAAAGTCATAACACTGTCCGGGAAACGAATAGACTCTATATTGATATCCTAGGAGTCAGTGAAAGAAGATGGCCAGGTACAGGACAGCAGAAAATAGGAAACGATGGAAACAATCATAACAACCAATGTATGACAGTGGAGTTACTATCTAGATCATTGGGTGCTAATTTTTTAACAATAAAATGACACCTTAGACGTGTAACTATAAAAAGACACTTAAAATACCAATTTTATTGTTGGGGCTTCGACTAGCTCTGTCTCAGATATAGGTACAGTACATTCAACCATAACCCACTGGTAGCTAACATCAGACTAAAGCTGAAGAAGATAGAGTGCAAAAGCAAGAAAATACGATTTAGGATCATTAAAAAATGAAGACACCAGATACAAACCTATATAGAAAAAGAATTAAAAATACAGACAAAGCTAATGAACCAGATAAGGAAATGGCAAAACTACAACAAATTAACCAGACAATCCTAGATAAGTATCTTCGCCCAACAACGGTTAAAAAGAAAGAGTGGATTACTGATAAAATCCTAAATATGATAAGGAATAGAAGAAGAGGTAAAAACAGAGACATGTGGGAGTATAAACGAATTGACAAAGAAATAAGAAAAACTATTAGAGAAACCAAAAACAAATGATTGGAAGATCAATGCAGAGAAATAGAATCATTGGAAAGTAGACACGACTCGTTTAATCTCCACAAGAAGGTAAAAGAGGCTGCAGGAATGTACAAACCCAAGAGATCAGGACATATGACTGATGATCATGGCTACCCGGTAATAGACATTGAACAAACAAGGAATATATGGAAGAGATACGTTGAGAAGACATTCGATGACGACAGAGATAACAACCAGATAATTATGGAATACGACACAGGACCACC